GTTGCTCACACTTCAGATGTGCTGTCAGCTTCTTGCCTATGCAGAGGTGTGTGTGCGCATGCAGGTGCTTTCTGACTAGCAAAGGATTCTTCAAGTGAAGAAGCACTGGCAATAGTACTTGAAAATGTTGGTAGTGACAGCTGGAAACTCATTTGCCTCAGATAACTGTGAAGTTGCCTTTAAATGTGTTTTGGAGACAGCAGGGCAAAACCTCATAATCCAAACTAGGGGAAGAAGTAGCATGATACAGGGGAGACAATGAAAGACTCTGGCATATGCAGATGAAGATCTAGAGAGGCAACATGCATCCAAAACACACAGTTCTGCCGTGCCCCATCCCTCATCTCTCCAGTGGGGAACAGTTTGGATGTACTCCTTCTTCTGGTTTGAAAAGCATAGTAAGCATAGCAAGGACCCCACAGCACTTCCATCCTTGCTGCATCCCGCTGTTTCTGCTGTCACATCTGCTCCTCTATCATCACCCTGAAACTGATACCAAACTGAATTCACTGCCACAATCACAACTGTTACCTTACCCTGAAAGCAGCATTCATCAAGAGTCAAGAAGTTTCAGAGACAAATGTTCCTGTGCAACAGCAGTCAGCCTGGCAGAGGGAAATGAACCACGATCTGTTTCCATGCTTTTAGATTAAAGCTCCTGTTAATGAGAATGCAGAAGCCTTGCTGTAATTTTCTCAACATTCTTTTGTTGCTAAAGGAGTTAACGCCTTTCTTCTGTCACTCTGCTCACTTGCTTTCCAGAGGAAAGAAGACAAGGGTAAAGCCCCTATGGGCTGGGGCTCTCTGAATAGAGGAGTTGGAGGGGTCATTGGCAGTAGCTTCCTGACACTGTGGCACACACACAGCTGCCTAGCCAGTTTCCCATACAGCTCTCTGCATTCACACCATCTAATTTGTAAGAAAAAATACAGAGTCAAAATGATCCTGAGGATTATTGCTCTTTCTCCCTGGTGCATCATGAACCAGAGTTTGGAAACCATCATCTAAAGGATGATAGGGCTGGTGTCCGCATATCTAAGCACAGCTTCTCTATGTATGCAACATGAGGACTTCAGAAAAAAGCCTGTTATTTTTCATTTCTCAGGACTTATACCTGAGATGTCAGGCATATGGGCCAGGGTGATGAGCCAGATAGCTAGGTGAGAAGCTGGGAGGTGAAAGACAGTGGGACCACGAGATGCACCAGAACATGGACGCACAGAGAATGAGAAACTGTCAGGAAGATCAAGAACCTTTCACTGACCCCTGTAGAGAGATGATACAAGAACATATTTGATGATGGAGACAGCTGAATGCTTCCCTGTGTTTTCCATCTGGAGTCCTTCTTTTCCACCACTTCACTCTGTTTCTCCCAGTAATTTGAAGTATGTGTTTCTACTCAGTATTATTTCTAGCACTTTTCTTATCTGCCATTTTCTCTGTCCTACATGGTGTGGCTTTCCTTTGTTTCAGCAGCTCTCTTCATTTTTCTCCCCAGCTTTGTTCCATGTCTGTTTGTGCATTCATTTATCCTGTTGGCTGGCCATTATGCAAAATATTGTGGGAACGGGATGTTCCTTTAATACATAATTAAGGATGGATTGTGAACAGCTGATCTTCTGGCATTTTCAGCAGTAAAAAAAGGCAAAAACAGCTCTTCTGCTGCATGTCTATTTTAGTTGAAAACTGCACTGGACAGAAGCCAGGTGATGCAGTGATCCCAAGGATCCCCCAAAACCTTCATTACTCTTAGGCTAGCATGAGGAGCATTCTCAAAGTCAGCTTCACACACTGGTGTTTCTATGGTCCCCTCAAAATTAAGACATGCAAATGAGAGGGATGAGTGAGGACAGAAATCAGTTTGCTTTGGTAAGAAGTCTTTCAGTAAGAAAGGACACAGATTGGTGAATCTATTGCAGAGATGTGACTTCTGGTGGGGTTTTAGCTCCTTCTCCAACCAAACCCATACCCTCCAGAAGTACCTCTGTTGTGGAGAGGGGAAACTGCACAGAAAATTGCTATGAGCATGACTGAGAAAGATGTGTGGATGGTGGTGACCAACCAGCTGAGCATGAGCTCTCAGGACTAAGCAAAAAGAAATGTTCAACCTTTGGATCCACAAATGGAAGAGAAGGATGAAAAAATGGACCAGGCCCACAAAGAAGTATGAGCATTAGCAGTTCAGAAAACATTGAGATACTCTGAGTTCTCAGGTTATTAAATAGATAATAAGCACTAACTTCATCACGAGCTTATCTTATCTACCCAGAGAAGGGACACTCAAAATAAACAGCCATTTTTAGCCTAATTACAGTCAGATAAAAGACAAAGATGTACAACTTTACTGCAAAGAGGATCTAAGCACTGTAACATGTTACTAGCAGTGATGGCAGCTGCGCCAGGGTCAGAATCTTTAAAGAAGAAACTAAGTGCTTTTCTTAGTGCTGCAGAATACCTCAAATGATTCACTAGGATTGTCCTGCAGCTTATGCTGAGCAGCATGACAGGCCTGATGATCACAGTGATTCTTTTAGGCCTTGTACCCTACCACACGTGCTTAATAGAAGTGCTTACTAAGGCTGCCTAGCATGGATCCACGTATGGTGGATATGCCCTTCCAATGTACACAAGATGTGTGTGCTTTTCAGTGGGTGGGATCTGAATCAGAAACAATCTGCCTCAAACTTCACAGGGCTGAAGAGCAGTCTGAAAGCCCACGCAGGCGTGAGCATGGAAAACATGGGAAAAACCAGGAGGCACAAGGGCCATGGACCAAAACACACTGCTCAGATGCTTCCTCAAGTGGAGCAGTGAGGGCTGCTCTGAGCACTGTGCTTAGCACTGTAGCTGTCCCAGCATCTTGGATCCTTACAGATTGAAGCCACGCCATAGGTCATCACCACTGCTTTGCACAAACGTCATGTGAGCCCAGCTGAACAGATGTCAAAAAGCAATCAGTAAAGGCTGAGAAGTAAATCAGGCTTTATTCTTCACCAGAGCGTTTGCACTCTTTGCTCTCTTTCCCCTGATTTGTTAAACATTTCATACACTACATATTAAACAGGGATATTAGGAACCAGAGATGCGTCCGTCTATCTTTATAGAAAATGTACTAATTATGAGGGACACAAGCAATTGTCATCATCCACTCTAAACCTGGAAATACACCCATGGTGAAAATGTCAGAGTAGGATAATTTTATGCTGCATAATGTATTTGACCTACCCCTTTCACTCAGATGCTCTTGAAACTATTCAGCTGATTCTAAGTAAATCTTACAATGAGCACTAAATACCCAATGTTATTGATTTATGGTTTTATTGCCCTATATATGATTATAACTCTAGAACACTGTTCAATAGGTCAAGCACTCTCTTTGCTTAATTAATATTTGCTACAGCCAGTAACCTGAAGGCATCTTGCTGAAAAAGCAAAAAGGAATAGAAATATGTAGCCTCTCAGCTTCGTGGAGCTAAGACGGTATTTACGCTTCCTTTACATCTTGCTTTAATCTTCCTTCCTGAGACACATACAGTGAGTGTTTTACTTTGTGTTGGTTGGAGACATGCGCAGAATTTCAATGTTACCAAAAATTCTCTGCTTCTGTGTCACCTACAAAAAAATGGATGCTTAATCATAAATACATGCACAGCACATGGTGTCATCCCCTCAGCGCAGTCCTTCATCCTTCACCTTCAGGTAGCTTGTGATGCCAGCTGGTCATACCATGTCTAGCCACTTGCATGCTTCCAAAACTGCAGCATCAGGCTTTAGTTTCAAGGAGGAAGGAGTAAGAGATTTTGCCCTATAGCAAACACACACCTGGGCTTCCTTTAACTTAGTTCTCGCAAACATTGTGGCTTCAACCCTGCAGCCAACTGACAACAGTGCTGTGCTTCACTGCCTGGAGGCCCCAGCACCATAAGCAGTGGCCCCACTCCTGATTCATAGCATCTCTGGCAGGTTTCAGTAGTTGTCAGTGTCTGTAACATCACCTAATGCATTGCAAGACATCTCACCGACACAGCAATACCTGCCCCTTTGGGCAGGTTGTAGCAAGTGGATTATGCACAGACACCTCTTTTGGTGTGCTGGAGGATTTATTAGCATCCTGCTGTGGTCCTGCCCCACCAGCCTGGCTGCTCCTGTGCCAATAAACTTCTCTGTGCTCATGCAGGTGGGGCATGTCACAGCTGAAGCATGCCAACCTCCTTAAGGTGGTGAGGCACTGGAATAGGTTGCCCAGGGAGGTTGTGAATGCTCCATCCCTGGCAGTGCTCAAGACCAGGTTGGACGAGGCCTTGGATGATATGGTTTAGTGTGAGGTGTCTCTGCCTATGGCAGGGGGTTGGAACTTGATCTTAGGGTCCTTTCCAACCCTAACTATTCTATGATTCTATGATTCTGATTCTATTATGCCAAACAGTAACCTGCTGCCTGCCTCTCTTGGCGGTGGCAAGAATCTTCACATGGTAGCCCCTGAACAGGAAGATTAATTGTGAACTTCAAGGGTTTTGATCTTCCAGGAGATTCTCAAACACAATTTTTACATTTCTTTGTTCTTCAAGGCTGCGGTGTTTTGGCATATGTTCAGTTTCTCCATCAGTGGAAGCTTTAATAGCATCTTTGTTACACCATGCAGCAGAACATACCTTGTCTGCTTCCTTTTATTTATTTTCATGGACAAAATCATAGTGTTCTCTATCTCTCAGGCACTATTCCTGGCAAACTTTAACCCTTCTTCCACCACATTTCCAGACACCAAGGAAATCCCACTGCTTTTTTCTTTTTTCCATTTATTCTTGCTTAGCTGCCCCATGAATGAATGCTCTGTGGTTGTCCCTTAGGGGAATATTTGTTTTCTCACTTTTTTCCAGGAAGGAGTTGGGAACTGAATAGCGTGAGAAGAAGGGGAAAGATGGAAACGTTCCTTTTTACAGGCAGGGAGGTCACTGTGACATTGTGAGATTTGCCTGTTGTTTTACACCCTCCTTGGACAGATATTTCTTGCAGATCCATAAATCTTCACCAGCTGATGTCTCTTCCTGCACTCTGCCGGGGTGGTTTCAAGCAGATACTACGGATGGCATCCTCATAAAAAAAAAGATATTGGTGAGTTTAAACAACAGGCATCTTACTGGGGATGGTAAATCCTATTGCAGTTTCTGCTAGTCCCTCTAACCCAGGCTGCTGTGCCTGTTCCCTCTGGCTGACCACAGTGCTGTAGCTAGAGCTGTATTTCTCCCCTTTCCTGCCTATACTAACTTCATATCCCACTGCCCTTCCTTTCCCTGTCCCAGGATTGTCCTGTCTCTACTCAGATCTCTAAGCATCTTGGGTTTTCTTTTTATTACTCTCCTAAAATACCCAATCCTCTCAATTTTCCACTCTCTCAAGCTGTGAATCTTCTTTTTTTCCTCACCTTTTCCTGAGTCATTTCTTCATTCATGTAGGATCATCTCCTTTCTTCTCCTTGCCCTTTTTCAGCTCAGTTCTGGTAGCCTCAGTAGTAAACCTCACACTGGTCCTCTCTAGTCATCCTGCATCCTTTCATCCTACTCAGGTGGCATCTCTGCATTTTGAAGGTATGGCCCTCCACAGCTTGATTTACAATAGCTCCTAGTCTTTAGTCAGTCAAGTCTTTTCTATGACTGCTCAGTGCTACTTCGGAAGAGGTCTCTTTATATCAACTTCAACTTTAGTCTGACAAATTTCTTAAAAGGATTTCCTTTAAGCAAACATTTAGAGCTTTTTATTATATCATGTCTGCTCCTGGATCATTGCTGAGACAATTTACCTCCAGACCTCCAGTGAAGTTGCTGGACTTCAGGAAATTGCATTTCTCAGCAGGTCACCAGGCTTTCTTTCCCTTCATAGTTATACTGAATTGATGTTGTTCATTATATTAATCCAAAAAAGAACATTAATAAAACCCCCTAGAGTAATTCCTCTGAAACAAGATCCTTCATGCCATGAGAGCATTATTGTGACCCCAGTATCTCTCTCTGGTCTGCTACAAAATTCACACATTACAAAGATCCTCTAATGAACATAAATAATTTCATTTTTTCTTAATTTCATACCAAGCACTTATTTCTTCTGCAGTTCTTGTTCTTCTCTGTTTCTGTGAGTGACTGTGAGCCCTCATCTACCACTAACTGCAATAGGCATGTTGTGAAAATACATCAGCATGTCCCTAATAAGGCTGGAAGAAGGAGGTGTTAGTTATCCCTGTACTTTCTAACAAGGCCAGAACTCTAGCTACAAAACCAATATCGTGTCAGGAAAAAAAAAAACAACCAGCTCTCCCAGCTGTATTTCTAGTCAGAAATTTTCAGTAGCTGTAAACAGCCAGATGGAGACTTCTGAAAAACTGTAGAACTTCCGGAAAGCCAAATTAAAACCTGCATGAAATACCACTAATGTTTTAAGGCTTTGGAATCAGTGCTACTCACCAGGGTGTGTTTACTTTTGGAAACAAAAAGCGTATTAGTACCATTGCAAAAATTGGGTTTTTTGTTTAATATACTGTTTAACAGAATAGACAGTAGAAGAAACACATCAGACTCGGGAAAACATTCAGAGACAGCACAGTATCTTTCCTGTGGTAGCAAAGAGTATATCAGAAGTCACAGGGCCTGACCAAAACAGGTAGCTTTGGTTTTAGTTTATTAAATGCAGGGGTAGAGAAAGAGAAAATGATGATTCTTTGGAAATAAATTACATTTTGAGAAGGAAAATAAAAGAAATCTACTACTTGAAGTGCTTTGGGCTGCCACATTGTTTTCTCTGTTTTTCTGTTGTTCTGAGTGTTATGAGAAAGAGGTTTATTGCAGAGAGACTGGAATACCCTCTAAGCACCACTTATGGAGACGAAGATAGAGACTGGGCAAAACTCTTGAGCAAGGCCATGAAGGACAAGAGTGGGTGGTCTATGGAGCCCATTAGCCTTCCTGAGTGCTGTCAAGAACAAATGCAAACAAAGCAGGGGATGTGTACAGTGAAACCTGAGCCCAAGTCTGCAACTCAGAGATTTTCTGATGTTATAGTAATGTGCTTGTGCATGGAATACAGTGAAGTTATGTATGCAAAGAATTAAAATTATTTTAACGAGTAACTCCCTGATAATTCATCCCAATTAAACAATTAAATCTCATATACAGTATCAAAAATAAGGCATCAATATTGTTCTGCACTAGTGAGTGACTCCTTTCCCATTGAAACCCTCTGCACTGCCCATACTGTGAGGCTGTTATTCTAGTAATATCCTGTGACCTCATAAGGAATCAGGGTCCTGGTCTTTGCACAAACACAATCAGAAGATAATACTTTCTACCTATGAATCAACACAATAGATTTTTCACTGAAACAATAGACCATATAGCAGGAAATAAAGCAAGTACCAGGATCAGTTGTGAAGGGAAACAGTCCAATTTTCTGGGTGGTGATTTGCTGGGAGGCCTTGTTTGATAGCAGGAATGACAAAGCATCTTTCCTTCAGTAGCAATCAAGACTTTTCAACGCAGACTAACAAAACTGCTGTTGAGAACAACAACCTGCTGGCCACAGGGGAGGCCAAACTTTAGCCACTTTGTATTCTGCCTTTTAAAGTCTGAGTCCACTTTTCCTGCAGTTTTATTTTACCCTGGAGGTACTGCAGCTTCTGACCAGCTAGACCACCATCCACAAAGCACTGCCAGTCCCCTTTGTCATGGCTGTGGGCAGATTTAAGAGGATGATCACGAGAAGTCATGCTTCAGAAGGCCAATGGGGACATGGCTGGTTGGAGTAGAATGTCCAGGAAGGATCTCTAGGAGCTGGGCTGTCCAGCACCATGCAAGGTGGCTCCATGCAGGCAATGGCAGGTACCATCATGCCTGTTTGCAGCACTGGGATGATGGAGGATTGCATTGCCTGTGAGCCTGTGGAAATCAGACACCCCTTTGAACAAGATTAATGAAGACAGTAGCACAGCTATACCAAAGGTTCTTGGTCAGTAACATCTAGTTACTGCTGTGATATGCTTGCAAAGAAGCATATGCCATCTTCCACAGTCCACTGTTAAAACCTTAAGGGCTTATTTATTGATGAGTTTAAGATCATTTAATCCTTCATCCCCTTCAAAAAAAAGACTTGTAATGCACAAAGACTGGTGTTCTGAAGCACCTGAAAACACTGGCTGCCATATATCCCAGATAACAAATGATGGTCTACCTTTGCTTCCTATCAGCATTAGCAGTGGAGGAAGGATGGCGTATGCTAGCACGGGAATTCTACAAAAAAATCGCCAGAATATCAAACATAGTAAAAGGAAGGTCTATAAAGACTGGCGTTTTTTTTTGGGGGGGGGTTTTTTTACTATTCTATGGGGTTTAACCAGAAATATCATGGAAACCAGCAAGTGAAGACGGCAAACTTGTATCCCATGGCAAATCCATAGGAAGTCCATACCTTCCCCCCAAGTGACAGGAAGGGGGACCAGGGTGGCTAGCACAAACACAGTAGTGGCAGCAGGTAGGGAAGTGATGACAAAGCCTTGACTCCAGGTTTGCTGTAGTTCTCTCAGGTGATTTGATTTTTTTCTCCCCCCATTTCCCTCCTGCTGACCCCCTATTTGTTCGTCAGTTAGACCTTGGGTGGCCTGTCATTTCCAGGCTGTAATGACACAAAAATGTACTCTACTTAATCATGCTTCAAAAAGCACCTTGTCACTTTGCTGAATTGCATACAGTCAGGATGTCCCACTATTGCAGCTAATCCCCTGCACAGCACAAACAGCTCAGGCCAGCTGGTCGATGCTCATAACTACCTAACATTTATTCCATCTAATTCCCAAAGTGAAAGCAACTTTGCAGTTAGTGCAGATCTCTACCAGTTCATTTATAGCAGAATAGCTCATCTAAGCGTTAATAGAAGAAGTCTTTGATTACCAGTGTATTCATGGAGATTTAGACTCAATTGAAGTAACGAACTCCTTGTCCACTACAGACAAAATGAAATGGTGCTAGAGATTGGAAATGCATGGGAGAATATTTTCATTAAAAACTGAATATAGCCGTTTACCAATTTTAATTAGAGTGGCATCATTTGCATTGCTATAGTTAAAAGCCTATTGGTACTTCTGGTATAAACGGGCCATCGTTTATCATAACATCTCAATATGCATTTGCGCTGAGATAGAACATGACAGGGTGTATTAGCCTGTTTTTTAAATGTTTTTTAAACTGTTAATTTAATACATTTTCCATGTAAGTACAAACTTAAAACCAGCTCAGAGAGGAATTAAATGTCCCTACTGTAGAGCTGTGTTGTATCAGAAAATCCTTTTAGCATTAACCAAATAAGTTTCCTGTCCAGGAAAACATCTTCTGAGTTTTCAGGTTTTTTCCTACTTTATACTTTTCCTACTCATCTGTATTAGGATGAGGCCAAGACTCTTCCAAAGTTATTAGCAACAACAAATACCAGCAGAAAAATAAGCCTTGCTTTATACTAGCTTGGGAATGCCAGCATTTGATAGCCATCTTTTAACAGATTCAGGAAAAACCTTATTTCTGCTTTTCTGCATCTGCAACACAGGGTTCACTAAGGTATCTGGGGATCACTTCTCACAGCTTCTTATGCTGGTACGTCCCTGCATTACCCTAATGATCCTCCTAGGTTGTCATCTCTAGATTTGCATGGAAATTTTGCCTGTGAGCTGAGAAATTTTTCCTGTCCATTGGCGTTTGTCACCAGCTTAGTCCCATCTCCAATCTGCTTCATCACGCTCCTCTGTACATCCCTTAAGGTACTCAGGTATGCTTTTTGGGGAAACACCTCTCACCAAAGAACCTTCCAAAGGGATTAAAAAGTCCTATGGTGCTGTCATTCCTGCCTCTTTTTGTCCACTCATACACACTATCTAGGTATCTGTTTTAATTTGTACAAGAAGTAAAGAGAAGCCATAGATATTTTTGAACCCTGTTAAGCCAGGTCCTTTGGGAAAGCAACCCATTCTGCAGTGTGCTCGTAAACAGAGGATGTACAGCTTCACTTATGAATTAAACATCTAGGTTTTCCATAAGCATGATGATGGGCACCCACATCTCCACTGCACGAAAGTACTGTCTGCCTAGGTGTAATCAGCTGGAGGTGCAGAGTCCTTTTCCTTGCAGCAAAATGACATGTGCTGTGTCTCTGCCTAGCTACATGGAGAAAGATAGGAAGAGAGCTGACAGAGTAACTGGACACTGGAGTCCAGGGAGAT